CAATATAATTTCTGCCTGTACTCTACTTTAGAGATTCACATTCAAAAGTATTTGCTATGTTATATCACGTAGTGTTTATTTCAAGGCAGCATGCCCATGCTATTTTAATGATAGTTGGCTGTGGAGTTCCTGTCGGGTACATTATATACACTGTTCTGTCATTGGTTTAGGTGAATGCTTCACTGAACTGGGGAACTATAAATATGCACTGCAACATCAGATGAAGCATTTAGAGTTGGCAAGGTTACTACACAGTGGAGCTGAAGAACAGAGAGCTTGGGCCACCCTTGGTAATGTTATTTTGGATGTTGTTTTTATATTCTTTTTATACACTATGTAAAACTTGTTATAGACATATTGTGATACAGTATGATATAGTATTGTGTCTTAAATCCAGTAACTATGATTGAATTTTAAAATGTTTTTTTTTTATTTGTACTTATCATACTGTGGCCCATTGTTAGAAACAAAATTAGTCTTAAAATTAACTTGTGTTCATAGACCGTAGACTTGGTATATCTGTGAAAACTTCCAATATTGAAATTACATGGACCATGTCCTAGGTCGGACACATTTTCAGCATTCAGAGGTCGTGAAAGACCAACAGGAAGCAAAACGCCAACTGGAGGAAGCAAGAAAAACTTTCATGAAGGCTCTTCACGCTGCTGAAAAAATCCAGGAAGAAATCAAGTAAGTCCTCGACATTAGATCGCGGTCAAAATAGTTGAACGATAGACTTCAACATGACTGCCATTTGATGAATTACTAACGACATTGAATTCCATTCCACAGCTGTTTGATGAATAATTGACAATTTAAAATATTCAATTCTATTTCCCAGCTGTCCGATGAATAATTCCATGTTCAAAATGCTCAATTCTCGGGTTATCCACTTAAATTATTAGCGGTTTCAATGGACAAAAAACGGCGATACCTGGGTAGAGCACGCGGGTGTTTACGACACTCTGGCACGAGCTTTTCTTTCCACGTGTCTCGTGCTACAAGACGGTCGAATACATGCAGATGCAGTTACGGCTGCTGCTCAACCTGGGCCTCGTGAGCGAGCGTCGCGGCGACGTGCAGCGCTGCGAGGAATTCATGAGGCAGGCGATCTACATCGCGCACAAGCACTCTATCGCTGACGACTTCTACAGATGCAACTTCAACCTAGATGGTAACAGAGGGCAGCGTTGACAGCTACTATTAGCAGCAGAAGCAGTGGAGATGGTGGCGGTGCAGGCAACGGCGCAATGGTGGTTATAGCATTGTAACTATTATAAATTCTCCATCTCTGTGCACTCGTATCTAGATGTATCTCTGTACACTGATAGTGATATACATTTTGTTGTGATATAGTAACCTTCGTCGGCACACTAGCAATCCAATCTTCTCGACGTTTCATGCAACACGACCACAGCCGAAAGTTTCCGTGGAAAAGGACTGGCTTAATGATAGTTTGGATCTTCTTACTTGGCTTTTACTAATCATAGTTTCTTCTGCCTGCAGGCATGTTGAAAACGCAAGGGAAGCTGAGTCAGGCGCAACGAGTCATTGAGGAGGCCCTGAAAACTGCCAACAAACTAAAGGATAAGATATCACAAGCAGAGGCCCTCATCGCGAAAGCTGATATCCTACTGCTGCTCGGTACTCACCATCTATATCATATTTCTACCAGGAGGTCATGAGAGAACATAATTATCTCTAATGTCTTCCGTTTGCATGGCTAATAGGCATATGTCATGCAGCGGTGTGTGCAGGGACTGTCCTGTGTCGCTGCGTGCCGCGTACGATGGAATACGATATCACTATCGTGTTGCATACATCGTATATTGCACAATAATCTCGTCCTTTGGCTTATTTTATTTCGCTTTGCCAGATTCTAATGTAAATTTTCAAGTATTATATCAGAAATGCACTGGACTATTGATATAGATCATATTTATTTTTTATCATGCTAATGAATGGTCATTTGCACATATCACACATATCATTGAGATCATGTTTATTTAATACTTGTTTTATCATCCCAAAATTTCTTTATTGCTGTCTGTACAGGTGACTACATCGCTGCCAAGCGCACACTGACACAGGCCTGGAAACTGGCTCCCCCTAGCGAGCTGATCATCCAGAAAGTTGAGCGGAACTTAAAGGCGACCTGCGTCGTCTGCCAATGTCGTGATAATCTCAATGACTGCAATTCCGATGACTGGGAGACACAGCGTAGACTTAACGAGAATATAGGTGAGTGAGGTTGCGGTAATATATGATTGGTGAAGCATGAGAAGTATTTTTAATGAATTTGTGAAAACGTGCATAATGGTTAAATAGAACTTACCGGTGAACAAACAAATTGACATGCGCATGTATACGTGTGTGTGTGTGCATGCGTGGGTGCGTGCGTGTGTGTTTTTGACAGACAAATAGATAATCATGTGTACTTACACGATATTGCAGGTGACACGCTCTCCTCTGTGGGATTGTTTGCGGAGGCACTGTCATTCTACAAGGAAGCTCTCATCTGTGCCAGGAAGGAAAGTACACCGGCAGATGTACTGGCTTCTTTGTAAGAACCATATTCATCACTCCACTAATGGTGTTAATCAGAAAAATCCTGTAACCCATTGCTTCATAGTGATCTGCAACTTGTGTGTAATTTAACTTTTAAAGTGTTCACCTGGACATTCAACCATGTGTTATATATCGGTTGCTTCATGATTTGTGAGATAACGTGGCATACTCGTGCGAATTTGATCATCTTTGTTCCATCGTGTTATATTGCCTGCATTCGTAATTTGTAAGGTATACGTTCATCCAATGCTTATATTTATATGAGCTGTACATTTATACTAGGCATACATTTATACAAGGCATTTATTTATAGGAGGTATACTTTTATACAAGGCATGAGCTTATTCAAGGTATACATTCATACAAGATATAGACTTACGCATGGTGTGCGTGCATTCATAATAAGCGTACATTTATACAAGGCATATGTTTGCGTAGATACGTGTCACTGGCTATCACGCACGCAGACCTGCAGCAGTTTGAAGAGGCTGTTGAGTGCTCCGAGAAGGAACTCATTTGTCGCCGTGGCAATGTGACGGAAGAGTGCCGCACCTGGCTGAACATTGCAGGTTTGTGTCTGTCGTTACTTGACTAATGCGTGATGCATGTCACATCATTGGTTTTAGTTTGTTTGTGGGTGATATCACGAATCGTGGACATCAAGTTTAGCAGCTAAGTAATTTTATTATAAAATACTTATACAGTATTGCTTAAACATGCAAGGATAATAAGAGGAGAATTAGTTGTTCTTATATGGTGTATAGTGTCATATTATATGTGTTAAAAATGCAAACTTTGACAATACACAGACTACAAAGATAAAGGTGGCAGGCCATACAGTGAGATCAAAGCAGCACTAGACAAAGCACTGCAACATGCAGAAATGACCAATAATCGTAGCTTGAAGAGACTGGCTTTGGAACACCTCGTCACTGTACAAACGTCAATGGGTATAAACAAGTCACACACCATATAATAGTGTATAGGTGACAACAAATAGCAATTAGATATTATCTCATTTTTATAAAGTTTTTCTACTAGTAATTTATCAAATAACTGAAAATTATTGACTCGTTTATATCGAAACTTAGCACAATTTGCAATTACAACAAATTGTGAGAAAGTAGAAAGACTACGTATCAGTGAATATTTATATAAGTCTTAGAAATTAAGAGTGCTAAGTTTAGCACTTGCTATGATTTCCTTCTCAAAAGGGTCTGGAATAGCTGATGAAAAGAAACTGGTTACAAAGCAGCTTCTGGAGGAGCTGGGGGAGGAGCAAGAGGAGGAGACTGAGGAAGAGGAGAGCCAGCCACTAAGCCCTCTCGATGTCAACATGCTGTCATCGAGTGATGGTGAGGATGAGGAGCCTGAGCAAGTAAAGAAAAAGAAGCCAGCCTGGAATCGGAGGAACGAAAAGGGAGAGACGCCTCTGCATCGAGCTGCTATTGCAGGTAGCGACAGTTTGCATCAAGCCATTGGCAATTGCAATTGTTGTTCGGGCAAAAAATAGCTCCATAATTTTACAGCATGATTCAATGTTTTGTATGGTATTTGATATTATTTCGTGGAATGCGGCACAGAATAATGACATTATTGAACATGTTCGCTAAAATATACCCAGCAAAAATTTGGCACAAAGTTTCTGTATATGATTGTGTTAAATGTCTCCCATGTAATGCTCTCATTTGGCAGTACTTTGTTATTTATCGTTAACTTAATACATCGTTGATGATGCGATGCTCTCTATACTTCCTAGGGAATCAGGTGAGAGTGAAGGAGCTGATGTCGCAGGGTCACCTGGTAAACCCACGAGATGGCGCTGGCTGGACGCCGCTGCATGAGGCGGCCAATCACGGCCACGCGGAGATCGTGCGCTTGCTGACCAAGCATGGCGCGTGGGTGAACGATCGTGGGGGGCGCCACTGCGGCGGGCTGACTCCGCTGCACGATGCTGCGCAGAACGGGCATCTCAGCGTTATGCAGGTACACTTACACTCCATTGTACGCTGAGCTAGCGTCATGGTAATGCAATAAGTACTTGTAACGAGGTCCTGCTTACTTCTGTCAAGGTTCCGCAATTACGTTGTTTCGGCATCAAATTGTAAGGTAGCATTCAGTGTGCATATGACAGAGCTGCTCAAGATATTGTTCTAATGTCTCGTTGTCATCTGTCTGCTATTGACGGCGATAACAGATGAATGTGGTGAACATGTGTCAAGCAATGTTTGACGAGGAATCAAACGAAGATTGTGTCATGTGGAGCGTGAGATATCCTGTTACTTATGGTTGTCTATTAATACCAAGGACCCATTGTCAGAAACAAAATTAGTCTTAGATTAGTCTGAACCATAACTTTTTCTTTTAGCGAAACATCTTAAAATTACGAGAATGAAAAATCCTACTGTATTTCCTCATAACTTTACGAAACAAAGTTCTGTAAACGTCTTCGAGAAAAAGTTAATGTTAAGAATAATTGTGTTTTTTGATGACAAGCCCCATGTGTACCCCAGTAAGCAAGCCCATTCCACACTGTACCTCGTATGTAGTACGTGAGAGCCTAGCGTGGCTGTCCCATCATCGCAGGTGTTGCTGGACCACAAGGCGAACATACTAGCGAAGGATAATGGCGGGCAGACCGCGCTGGACGCTCTGAGAGCGTACGGGACGGCTCACCGTGCGGACATGGACCGGCAGGAGGTAGCAGCGTGCCAGGCGATGGAGCAGGACCTTGTACGGCGCATGGTCACCACTGGAGGTGCGGGGACACGTAAACACATGCGCAGGCACATCACCTACTTTATGGCTTTGTGCATCTAATAACATGCTCGCTGAATCTACACAGTGGAAGCCCATTGGATCTGCAGAAACCGTAGAACTGGTCCAGGCCTTTATTTGTCACATGACTGGGTCGACTAAACCAAAGCACATTTGGACAATGTGGGGCTGGAGGCGTATCTACTTGTGTATACTCTTGTATATCATCATGTCAGGGCTAACCCATAGTGTGCAATCATTTGCTTTCGATCTACTTGCAACTCAACTGCTTCTCAACTTTGCAAGTGAGCTGGAATTTTTATGTGTGGCTGGTGTACGTATAATCAAGAGAATATTGACAATAGTCACAAAATTATCTTCAACTAGACAGAGGGCACTCATGGAGAGTGCATACCTCCGCCAGCATGTAACATGTATGTGTTGCGAGCTGGCTCGCCGCTCGCTGCTGGCTGCTGCTGACTGACTGGCCTGCTGCTGACTCGACGCGCTAATATCAATCGCGCGAACACACTAACACACGAACGGACTAACACACTAACACACTAACACACGAGAGCGATCACATAACCTCCTCCAACTCTGTTTGGCGGAGGTAATTAGTCTTAATAAACTCACCGTGCAATGTTCAGCATCGTCAATATCCACGTTTTTACTTCAGGCAATCCTCAAACCACATCGGCTTCTCTCGCCAGCACAATCTACAGCGACGGCTGCGGCGGCAGTGACGACGACAGCGATGACGATAGCCCATTGTTCTCAAGCAAGACGAAGAACAGGCAATCTCCTGCTGAGCAACCAGTGAAGCGTTGCACCATGCGGAGCAGAGTTCGCGGGGATTCCGACGACAGCTCGCAGGACGCCACACCTGCCGCGACGCAACAGCGACCACCTACAGATGTCGCCAGCTACCTTACCAAGGTCTTCCCGCCCAGTCAGGATCTTCCGGACATGCCACCGGCGCCAAAAGCTAAGTCGGCCTGCGCAAGGTTTGCCGCTGATCGTCGCCCAGGCGACGAGTCCAGTGATGCGGGGCATGGCGGTTACCGCGGTGACGATAACGCAGTCGACGCATATATGGAAGTGATGCAAGCTGTTGGCAGCGCCACCGCGCGGTGTATTGAAGAACCGCATGTCCTGCGGCACCACCCCGCTACCCCCGCTCCCGCGCTCATTCCCGAGGAGGAGTACGTCAGCGAGCATGCAGACTGGCTCATCATCGATGACGCACCACCGCAGAACCCGGAGAAGCGACAGCGCACCGGTGGCGCCCTCTCACAGCGGCGGAGACAGGTGCAGCAACGGATAACGGCGTTCGCAGTGGAACGCGGGGACGTGCGAGAGGACGTTGAGATGATGGGCAGCGGTGGCGTCCTCTCACAGAGCCGAAGGCAGGTGCAGCCGCAGAACACGGTGGAGCGCGAGGAGGAGAGTGAGGAGGAAGATATAGAGATGTTTGACAGCGGTAGTGACAGCAATGGAAGCGGTGCCGCCACAAGGAGGGTTCGTCGTACAGGAAAGCCGAGGCGCACGCGACAGCTGAAGATCAGTGCCCTCTATGGGCCGGGAACCCAGACAGCAGTGCGCGAGGTGGACAGGAGAGTGAGAGAGGACGAAGGCGCGGCAGGGAATAGTGAGAGAGTGGCGATCGGGCCAGCAATGCGTGTGAGAGTAAACATCGAGGGAAAGGTTTTCCTTATTCCGCTGCCGCGACACGAAGCAGGCAAGTATGGAAGCATCCCTCTGTTATGCGGCTCCATCTCTGACGTAGTAACGCTGCTTAACCATGATGTCCTTCCTCCTTGAGCATTGATTAAGCATTCCTTGTTGAGTGGTTTATTGTGTTGTGGTGCTGCATAACCCTGAAAATTCCGGCATAAGTGTTTTTGTCATTTTGTGGTAATTATTTGACAGTAATTGAGCTGAATTTGTACAAGTTTTTTTAAATCGTATCCTGTGAACAATTTTCCATACAGGAATGAGCTAACGAATTTGTGTGTTAGGTTGATGTGAAGCAATAGAGTTAATTTAAAAATTCGTATCTATAGCTTCTATCTACTTACATCTCATAAGTACTGCGCATATAGTTTATCGAAAGCAATGGTATTGACTGTAAGGTAACCTTTATTTTAAACAATATCAAGGGCCCATTAAGTAGTGTTGAGCAAGAGTGTTAATTGTTAATTGGCTCTTGACAATCTGCGACCATGATTACAAACTCATCTTGACCTCTACCATAGGCCAAACATAAAAAAAAATCCAACTTTCTGACATTATGAGCCTGCTGTGTTGACAGTTATTGAAGAGGCAGGATTAGTCTGGTTTAGCTGACTCTACACACCTTTCTCCCATAACGTACTTCCGCGGCACTAGCCATCTCAGCGCTATTACGCCTGCTAATGGTCGACGGGCCTCAGTGACGCTCTACACTAAAGATGGCGCTCGCGCTCGGATTCCGACGACATCGTCACCATCTGGTGACAACAATGAAGGCAGCATCGTAGCTAGTGTAGAACACATGGGGAGATGCACTCCTAACTAGCCAGAAAGGCACCGCTCTGTTATGTCAGCATTGCTTGGCGGGGGCATCTGTCGGTGTCTTTCTCAAGCACAGAATTCTAGACCCCTAGCGTGCCTTTCTAGAGCCACAGATCCCTAGGCATGTATGCTATGTGTCAAGCATGTATTCCAATCACTGTTGATGTTCACGATATGTTGAATCCATCTGTTGAAGCTTATGTATCATTAGACGTCCAGTCAAACTTGTTGGTAGTTCAATATTGATTGGCATTCTGATCTGAAAGCTCGAAAGCGAAAACTTTGAATTCAGCATTTAGCTACCTATCATGTTAATTGGTTCAATGCTGTATTTTGGCCCCGTATCACACTGGGCTTCACGCCTGTATCATGGACCTTGTATGTTGTAATATTTTTATGCCCATCCATGCTTTATGTCCCGTGTATGTCCGCTGCTAATGTTATCCATTGCACGGCATGTTCATTCAGGGCCCCTTGTATTGCGAAATGTTTCTGCATGCTCATGTCGATGCGTGATGCTTCATCATGTAGTTGACGCCACGTATGCATTGTTGCCAGGTAATGCGTCTGCGTGCCTGGGCGGCAAGCGACCCCGCGTACACAACATCACGACTGCGTCACGCATGGCTGACTTCACGCAGCTTGCCTGCCGCCTGAGAGAACCTCGCCATGCCGCCTCATCAGGCGCCGCCCCCTGGCCTGCGCTCGCTACGGCGGCAGTACGCGGTGTCGCTCACTATCCTCGCATCTGTTCTCCGGTAACCGGCCTCGGCCCGATGAGGGATGCAAGGACTCGGGTCTTGCCCTCCCTCCCTCGACGCCCTCGCCACGCTCACACGCGTCCTGCGGCCAATGACGGTCAGCAGCGGCGGTCTGCGGAGTGTCGTCGACGGCGGCAGCGCCGGGGGCGCCACGTCATGCCCCGCGCTTGTTGCAACCTCGAGCTCGGCTTCAACCTGCTCGGTGACGCCGGCGCGCGGCGCTCGCTGCCGTGCTGGCCTATGCCGCCGCGGCTCGCCTCGCTCGGGCACTGTGCGCGTGGCGACCTTTACGGCGGCCGGTCTTCCAGATGCGGCCGCTCGCCGCGCAGCGCTCGCTAGCGATGCGTTGGAGAGCCTCCGTTGCGTCCGACGCGACCGGAATGAGCTTGGCCGACTGAGCGGCAGCGAGGCTGCTGACGGGCGTCCCCCTGTGTTAGGTCGGGGTTACGGTGAGCCACGATGTCGTGTTCGCCGCGGGCGTCGCGACTGTGATGCGCGTTCTAAGTGGATCGGCAAGCCGACGGTGTGTGTCAGCGTGACTCTACAGACAGCTTCCATCGGATCGATACTGCGTGACGAGCGGAGAGACCACAAATATCTGGTGTGAATGCATAGTGTAATTACATGTGATAGTGATTTGTGTCGTATTTTACAATTGCAAATCGTAATATTTTGACGGTATTTTTCTTGCTACATGGGTTGTTTAGCTACATCAACAACTCATTACTTTAGGCTGTGGGCTTTTTGCCATGTATCAGAGGGTATTTTGTTTGCAGTGATTGGATAATACCAGAAGTAGATAATAGGCGAATCTACTTCTGATAAATACCGTAATATGGAAATATATAGTGGTGAAAGCTTATAATCTTGTTCTGTCTTATGCGTTTGCTAGGCAACAGATTTTCGTATCAGCTCTGTAGTACTACAGTCACTATTAATAAGTTACCTAATTAACAATAAACGTAACTCTTCACGAAACTCTAAGAATATTTGAACATTTGAGCCATAGGAATCTTTTACATTATCAACTGAAGCAAAGCTGCCAAGGTTACAGCAGAGGGCTACAAGAAGTAACAACAGGTGGCCGCCACAGCACACTCGTTAAACATGGCTGTCCAACAAAGTTGTAAACTTTTTCAAGAAATGAAGTAACTTAATCCATGAATAGGTGTAGACGTATAATATATAGAACGATATTACAAGAGCATTGCAGTAATTTCTACGACTCAGTCATTTCAAAACCCAACTTCCAAGAAACTCGTAGTCGTTTCAGTTCTACATCTCACTCACTTTCACTCTCTGAGTCTTCTCATCATGAATCATGTCACTGACCAGTGACGCTCATACTCATTAGGGTCTATGTCCCCCAGGGGTACGGCCGGAAAGTACCTGGTACGGCTCCGGTATAACACGGAACGTACCCTCGTCACCTATTGGGTCATGGTTAGGGTTAGGCGATAGGATAGGCGACTCCCTAGACTCGTTCGTGGAGTAGGCACGAGGTACGATCCGGCATATTAAATAGTACCAGGGTACGTTCCGGCAGTAACCCGGGGGACATATACCCCTCTCAGCGACAGTGACACTGCAGTGTCATGCTGCCGCGTTCTTAGCGACCACGGTGTCAGAGGTTGTTTTACTAGTACTACGTAACACGTTATTTCAAAGGAGGGTAATATTTATCCCTTCATACTTATACGTAATAACCATTAACCTTGCTTGATTACTATGTAAACCATTTGATTTGCTATAATGTACCGTAGGCGCAGTGTTACTAAGGCTGAGAGGGTCCTAGCCCGACCAGGCTGTGCGACAGATTGTCTATACGATATTCTAACCCTAGCATATACCGTTTCTTGGAGCTAAGAGGGTCCCTGTCCGGTTCAATGATATAGATGATGTCCAGGACGGTGATAGGTATTAGGATAGGATGATGTTTATTACTGGACATGCTCTCTATCCTTGAGCCCCTATGTCCCCCAGGGTACGGTCTGGTATAATAATACCGGAACGTACCCTGGTACTATCTAATTAGTCCGCAAATGCAGACGTTATAACTCCACTTTACTAATTTGGGGGTGCGGGTTTATCGCATTACTGGGGTCTGCGTCGGCTCGGACTACTATCTAATATGCCGGACCGTACCTCGCCTACTCCACTAACGAGTCTAGGGAGTCGCCTACGCCTACTCCCTAACCCTAACTCTAACCCTAACCCTAACACTAACCCTAACCCTAATCCTAACCCTAACCATATCAAATAGTGACCAGGGTACGTTCCGGCAGTACCCTGGGGAACATAGACCCTATGAGCGTTACTTCGTGTGATCAATGTGGTTCACGTGTACTAGGTGTGTGGTCATTCGTTCAATCATTTCTATTTGCGGAACGGACACAGGTGGTCGATGTTTACATGAAATTTGATGACGATGTCGCTCAAGCTTAACTTGCTTCCTGTTCCTTCTTCCGTGGAACGCAATTTCCTGTAAGCGTGATCGACCACATGCATCCAATCACACGCAGCTTAAATGAAATATAGAACACATGGTATTTATGGTAAATGTATGCTAGCTTGTCTTTATTAACTCCTGCTAATATGTAATCACCGTTTTTTGGAATGAATCGACCGTTTCTTCTAGCTAGGTATATGTGCTGCAAGAGCGGTGCCTTGCTTGACACATCATTTTAATAAAGGATATATG